CCCCACTCCCCTCACCCTACCGTTCCCCGGGGGGCCCATTGTTCACCTGCACAGGGGAGGTAGACCTCGTTTCCGTGTCAATTTGTTTGCGCGAGCTAACCAGGTCGGCCACCGTTCCCCCCGCACCCGATCTTCGCGCCTTGCGCAATTAGAATCAGAGAAGAGTGTATGTGCACACGTTAACTCACACCCGGGGGGAGAGCCTAGAAACAAAGAATCAACCAGGTTTTTTTTCTACGGCCAAGAATGGATGGTTCCTTTACGGGGGGTATGTTTTTGCAGGCCCACATGATACATTTGGTATGTAGGTAGGCAGGAGACAGGAGACAGGAGACAAGTTGTACGCGGTGTGGGTGCCCATGTCCGACATTGGATGCGGGGGATATAGACATGGACATGGACATGGACCTGGACCTGTACTGCGCATATACATGTTTATCAGCTCCTCATGGAAGAAGAGGCGGGGGATAACAAAACCCTGAGGGGCAGCACAGGCCCCGGGAACTCCAGGTTTCTAGGTAGCTAGGTCGGCCCAGGCCAGCTGCCACTGCATATAGCAGCACTGCGCAAGATGCAGGCTGGCCGGTTTCCCTTTTTTGCCTGCAGCTGAGGGTGAACCCGGCATGTTTTATGTAGTTTCGTAGTAAAAATGGGGAGAGAGGGGTCTGGCCAATGGCGCATGCAGGCGGGACAGGCGTAATCGGGCTGAAGCTTGGTTTCGGAATTTTGCTGCTACGGCTGCTGGTGATGCAATAGTTGCTTTTGCCCCCGTTTCTGGCCTTGTTCTTTGACTTGACGAGGTGGTTTGCTACAGATGAAGAGGAGTGTAGTAGGGCCTTTCAGCGTGTTCAGACGTTAGTAGCGCCTTCAATCAAATATCCAAGAAAAAAAGGAAAAAAAAAATTGGCCATGGGTGGGGCCACCTGTATGGCGCCAAGTTAAAAGAATATGAGAGCAAAAAGATCTCTGGCTCTCTCCACTTTTCTCATCCAGGTTTCAAGATCGGTTCCTCTCAGGGTGTTGCCTTCGCCGCCGCATCAACATATCCATCGATGCAAGCAATCTCGAAGAAGAGAAGAAGAGAAGAAGACAAAATGATTGGCCAGGCCGACACGTGGCGGCGCCAACGCGAAAGGAACACGAACCCGTCGCGCCAACCACGCAACACGCAACCACGCGACGCCACAAACGCGAAACAAACGCGCCACTTCAGGGGGTTTGGATTCTTGAGAGATCAACCATTCAATCTTGGCTTTTGTGTATTTCTAACTAATTTTAATTTCAAGCTGATGTTGTTGTGCTTGGTGTCGTGTCCATCTCGTCTTCTCGTTGGCGATAGAGGGCTGGCGAGTGAAGGTGGCTGGCGCTTAGCCGGTTTAATTAGATTAGTCAATGCGGGGCCCTGCCCAAAAAAAAGGAGTTGTGAGGTTTGGTCTGGAATGGCGGATGGATAGGATAGGGGGAGGATGTGCAGGCAGGGATAGGAAGGATGGAAAAGGCATTTTTTCAAGAGCTCTGGACATTGCAATGTTCAAGATGCCGAACCCGGGGGTTCTAGAATTGGAACGATGCTTGAGTTGAGTTGATCTATCAATTCTCAGGCTGGATTGGTGTCCAGGAAGAGGAAGAAGAAAGCCAGCTAGGCAGGTCTCGAATGACAAACGAGTATCCGTCCGTTCAAGAGAGCCCTGGAGGGTTGATGGTTGTCATCAGTAAGTGCTAAACTGTAGTTTTTTAATTCACACGTACTGTTATTTATATACATAGATATATAGATCAGAGGAGTAACCCAGTCATAATCTGCCATAATACTGAATATTATTGCCTGCCAGTTCAAGCATGATGCGGCCGGATGTTATCAGATCGGGTAAATCTGGGCTTTCTTCCATCAGCAGGTTTTCGAATTCTTCAGGATGGAACGGATCCACTTGGTGCGGACCCTTTTTTTTTTTTTTCAACTTTCTGTGCATCTTGAGTTTTCCTGGCTAACCGGCAGCAGTAAAATAAAATAAATTTCCAGATCAAATAATAACTTTAACTAACTTCCGATTGCGTGTGTGGGTGGATTATTCCGGGTTCGGCAAACCAGCTGAAAAGAAAAGGAAAAAGAAAAGGAAAAAGAAAAAGAAACCGTCTTGAGGGGTTTGGTTCCTGGAATGTCCCTCCTGCAGCGGGCTCTACTTTTGTGTCACAGAGTAAGGGGTAGATAGAGAGAGACATGCAGCTGAGAAATTCAACCAGCCATTCATTGTCATTGCCCCGCTCTGCAGCGAGCGAGACCAAACATGATACGAAGAAAGGCGAACTCTTATTCTTCCTTCTCCGTGTTGTTTTGCTGAAATTGATTGCCGTGAGCCGGTCCTCCTGCCTGCGGGTACCTGTTGTGGCACACGATCTGAGGGGCGCAATGCATACTTATACTTGGAGGAACCGTTTCTGCGTGAACGTCAACCTTGCCCCATCCCCAATCATTGCAAAGAGGCGACCAGGCTGTATAGCAATCGGTTGATTTGGAGAAATTCGTCAAATCAATGACTTCCCCAGGTGATTGGACACCTGAAACATTTTTCCTGGCCATTCCAGCTACAACAAGGTCATTCGTGGCCTTATCAGGCTCGAGGGAGAGATATACGAA